AGAGTAAGTTTTTTAACTTTTAGTTTTGAGATAACTATAGATTCACAAGAAGTTGCAAAATAACTAACTTGACAGTGCTCTTGTACTCATCCCCTAGCATCCTCCACGAGGGCAGGTCACGCACCACCCAAACCAGGAAACAGACATTAACACCATACTGCCAGCCAGACTAAGGGCCTTAGATCTAAGCAGTTTTCACATGCGCTATTATTTTTTTGCATGAATTGACGCATATAATTTTATGGCATTTCATCCCATGTGTACATTCATATAACTACCGACACCTCCCTGGGAATCAAGATCACAGTGTGTTTTCCAAAGTCTGTTGGTATTTAAACCAATTTGGGAAAATAGGTCCCCCAAAGAGCAAGCGTAAAACGAAATGTCACTGCAGTGATAGGACAGAAGGTTAAATGATCAATATGACTGCTAGATCCTTAGTGCAGTCCTAGGGACATTCTCTCAGTTACTTTGGAAATGCATTATTTTTGTGAACATCTGCCTGGTGAGCTCGGGAATTTATTAAGTCCCTACCGTTTAGCAAACATTTCAGGCAGCATGGGCAGACAGGCTTCAGCTCACACGCGTCTCTTATTGAATTACAGCGGCTGCCTACAGGGGCACGGTGAGGAGAATCCAGAGGCCGCATCTGGGCCCAGCAGGAGACAGCCACTGCCTCACAGAACTGCTCTGTCGCAGGGCGGTGGCAGCTGGGTGCGTGCCAGGCGCCTGCCATCTCCGAAGTTTCTGTGACTTTGTGAGCCACAGTGGTCTGGGGCCTGGGAAAAAGGGATCAGAAAGCACAACCCCTGTCCCCAAAGAGGTCCTAACTGGGAAGGGGAGGGGAACATGCTCACCCAAGCCTGGGACACGGAATGCTACACTTGAGAGCACAGACACACAGAGCCCCGCTCTGCTCTGCTCCAGGCGGCCACACATGGGCAGCAGTGAGGGCTGGGGCTCAGACCTGTGTGCTGTGGTGACCACCAAAGGGTAGGGGCAAATCCAGCGTTAGAGACAGAGGAGAGTCTACCAGCTGCTCACGGAGCACACTGTAACCTAGGTTAGAAGCCAGACTCTGGGGCCCAGCGGCCTGCCTTCCAATCCCACAGAAACCCTTTAGTCTGTGCTGTAGTCAAGTATCAAATGAGCATAATATTGCACACATCACAAGGGTTAAATGAGTTACAATTACACAGCACTTTCAACAGAGTCCAGTATTTAGCCAACACCATGTTGTAAGCATCGTCACTCATTTACTTTTTCACAGTCGATGGCACTGAAAACTTTTAAATGCATTTTGTTGTTGTCGTTGTTTGGTTTTTTGAGATGGGGTCTCGCAGGTAGTTCAGGCTGGCCTTGAATACATACAATTCCCCTACCTCACCTCTGGAGTGCTGGGATTATAGGTGTGCATCACCACACCTGGCTCAATGAATTCTTCTTATCATCGGAAAAATGAATGAAGATTAATAAAGGAAAGACTACGGTTTCTAAACCGATCCACGAATCTGCCGAAATGGGCACCTCAATGGGACATTTTGGAAAAACCGTGGTACCCAAAGTTCCTCGGTCTCTGCAAGGGCTCTTGGATCCCTCCTCCTCGTCTGCCCTCACTACCTTCCTTCCCTGCCCTGCCCTTCGCGAGCCTCTCCTTTCTCATCACTGTCTTCCAACCCTGCCTGCACCCTGTCCCTTTGCTCACAGCGCCCGGTTCCCACCCAGGGCACCCCTGCCCTTCTCCCCTTTCCTACCCCAGCTCACTTCCCATTTCCTCGCAAAGGCCCTCTCCACACTGCAGCACACAGGGCTCTCTCCGGCCCATCTAATCCATCTGCAGCACTTACAGTACAGACCCAGCTCTGCCTTGAAGGTGACCCCTTAAAGATCAGGTGCTGGAAACTTAATCCCCACCACGACAGGGCCCACCGGAGGTGACTGCGCTTAGGAATGAATCCATGTTATTATCACAGCAATGGGTTTGTTTATAAAAGCAGGTTTGGACCCTCAGCCCTCATCCAGTGTGGGCCCTTGATCTTGAATTGCCCAGCCTGCACAACTTAAGCCAAATAACGCTTCTGTTGTTTATAAATTACCCAATCCATAGTATTCTATCATAGCAACACAAAACAGACGAAGACATACCTGACTTAACTGACACTAGGTCCCCCCATCTCATACACAGTATTATTTTTCTTACTCTGTTTTTATACAACTCATGAATTATTATGTGAAATTTCTGTGGATAATAAGTCAGGCCAAAAAGTTTAATTTTTAACTGTGAGGCTGACAGATAGATCTTCCCTCTGCAAATATACGGCAGGCTTCCTGAATGTGGAACAGTGTCTTAAAACTCTCTTGTTTCCTGTGGACTTGACCAGTGCTAGGCACAAGTGGGTAGACAGTAAGTCCAGCCTTTTCAATTTCAGTGAGGTGGCCCAAAGTTATGGCATTCCTATACATGGGTCCCTCTGACAACAGCTGGTTCCCAGCGATGGCTCAACTGTAGGATGGTGTGACTGTACACCCATTCAACCACTGTTTTTCACTTTCAGCATAGTGTTTAATACATTACATAAAGTAGTCAATACCTTATTAGAAAACTGCTTTTGTGGCAGATGACTCTGTCTACCGATGGGTTAACCCAAATGTTCTGCAGATGTTTAAGGTAGGCCAAGGTCAAGCTATAATGTTTGATCAGTTAGGTGTAGTACGTACAGTTCTGACTTACGGTGTTTTCAACTTATTATTGGGTAAACCATGGTAAGTCAAAGAGCATCTATATTCTGTGCCGCCTACAGCTCAGGAGAAGGCACTTTTTACCAAGTGACCCTCAGAACTGAACATGAGGGTACAGAGCTGGATGTCAGCACTAGTGCTTTTCTCTTCCCAGTTTCTCCTATTTATTCATTTAGCAAAAAGCTATTATGTGCTTACTGTTACAGCTCTGGCTAGGGCTGGGCTTTAACCACAGCCTCCTAAGTAGTTACCTTGTTTGGAGAGGTTAACTAACTGGGCCAAGATGTAGTTAGCAACCTGCAGGCCTAGGATTTGGACCTTGCAGGGCACAGGCACAAAGTCTTAGTTCTTGCCACGTGGTCAGGTTATCTTTCTGGTGCCGAGTGTCTACCTGAGGGAGGCACAAGTTAACGAATGACCCAAAGGTCTGCAGTTCTGGAGAACATCACACAACCATCCTGGACCACACAGAGGCGTAAACCAGTGTCGGCGCCATTTTGTTTAAAGAGGTACTGTTGTAATTCAAAGTTGAGACGGCCGAAGTGTTTGGTGCCTTGTGGAGGAGAGCTGATCTCAGTCAGCATCTTCGCTAATGTTTGGAAAGAGGGCTCCAACCCCTTTCTTCTTCCGGGGATGTGTAATCCAGACATCAGTTAAATTACCAAGACCTCTGCAACTAAAGTACTTCACGGGGGTCTGAGGTTGAACAGGCCATCACAGCCATCTCTCTGACCTTCCTCCCCCTGCGGCACTAACAGAACTAAGAAGAGAGTATGGTGACAATAACCAGGTCCCTGTGCTGACCCAGGAGAGCTGGGCCAAGAGACTCTGTAATAACAGAGGCAGCCAGGTGTTCTGTCAGAGTTCTGTCAGAGCCATCGCTGCGTGTGACACAGAGGCTGGCGGAAACTGTGCCTGCTGAATGCCAGCCTGCGAAAGACCCCCCACATCAAAACCTCTTCCAGAATGAGTTAAGGATGCTACAACCACCTACTTCCCATATGCTCAAGTTACTCATCTCTCAGGGTAAAGACAGAAAAAAGAATTTTAATAAAACCTCGTGTTGTAGCAGTACGGAGGCAGCGTCTTCAGTATTTTCTTGGTCATCCTACTAAGATAGCATTTCAGTTAATGGAGTTGGAATTCAACATCTCTACATCTTTGAGAGAGCCACCTAAGGAGGCCCAGCAGCTACAAGATTTGAATGGAGGTAGAGGCCAAGAGGGTACCATTGCTAATTTTTAATCTTCTCATTCTCCTTTAACTGAGAGTCCCTGCATGTTAACTGGCTTTCCCCCGAGAGGGAAATCTTGGCAGTGTCTGCACGGATCCATGCATCGGTGAGTACAGCTTGGTGACAGGCAACTCTCTCCCTCAATGGTGGCACAAACAGTGACTTGGTCACTTTGCCTTGCCCAAGTGGGCAGCAATGGGGAAGGCTCCCGGCCTCAGTGCCCAGCTGTGGGCACGGCAGTTTGCTTCGTGCTCCGAAGAGCAGAGGGTTTTGTCCCCCTGCTGTCACCTGCCACAAGCAGTTCCTGTTCCTCCTCTCCTAGGAGAGACTGAGGGAGAGGAACCCACAGCATTCACAGCACAGAGCAGCATTTTCAGACAGCAAGCCCCATTTTCCCTGCTCTCCAGCAAAGGGGGCCCTGACAACCAGGGTTTCAGCCAGGAAATGCTTGTGGAGGGCACAGTCCCGGGTGATACAAAAATAATAATAATAAAAAGAAAAATATAAGGAAACAACAACAACAACAACAACAAAAAAAAAAAAAAAAAAAAAAAAAAAAAAAAAAAAAAGGAAAAGGAAATGCACGAGCCCACATGGCCGGCTGGTTAGCCAGGGGTAGAATCAGGCCTAGACCATGCCTGGGTCACCCAGTGTCTCAACACATCCCAAACCCCAGGGTAAAAGACATTTCTATCTGTGGAAACAGGATGTTTCCTTCTTTTGCCATTTATTCTCTCTCTCCCTCTCTCTCCTCTCTCTATTTCTTTAGTCGGTCTTTCACCCAAAGTTGGACCAAGCATCACTTTGACCTGCCCAGCCTTTTCATCCTTCCAGAGTCAAAGAACAACAAATATGGGGTCCAGTGGGCCCTCTCCCCCAGCCCGTTCCCAGCAGCCCTTCTCTCCCAGGGTTCCAGGGTGCACAGAGCAGACACGGTCAGCACGACATGCCGCACACAGCAAGTCATCAAACCACACTGCGTTCAAGGGTTCAAGACCTTCAAGGAGGGGAGGGGTGGGGGACTTACTTGTACTTGTGCTGGTTCCAATCGTGTTGATGGTGGTGGGGACGGAGGAGGAGGAGTAGAGGGGCACGTGGCCATTCTCACACCCCAGGCTTTTGTCCTGCCAGCTGGAGGCGTTGATGCAAATCCCAGAGTCCCGAGAGTTCTGCCACCCATTGAGCTTGTCGTCGGAGTTCTGTCTTTGGTGATAGTAGTGCGACTGCCCGTAATCCACAGAGTCCGAGCGGCCTCGGTTCTGGCCACTGCCGAAGCCGGTGGACGTGCGGTCCTCCAGGTGATTCAGCCACATGGCCAGGGCGCTGCGATCTTCCAGCGAAGTGGCTGGGTGGATCAGAGCATAGGACAGCAGCTGCCTGCTCTCCTCGATGTGCTGGTTGTGTTCGATGGAGTGGGCCAGAATCTTGGGCAGCAGCTTCATATATTCTACTTTTGCGTCGAGGTTTCCGGGCTTCAGCAAAGGCAGGTGAGTTAACAGGAGCGAAATCACTTTATCCTTGGATTCTTGTTGCCATTGGTTAATGATTCCTGAGAGGGAAAATACAGAGGGCAAATGAGCAAACACACCCACGATAACCCTCAACACGGCCCTGTAAGTTTAGGGAATCTATGGGTTAGAGTCTCAGCCTATGGACCAGGCTAAATTTTCTCAGAACACCCTATGCCTTACGTTAACTGATCTCAGGATTTTGAGGTCTGAGGACTTCAATGAAACACACATCAAAAATTCTTAGATGTTTGGATCCTTCATCTAATCCTCATTCAGATCTTCAAAGAGGCTACTGCTACTCTATCCAGCCAAATAGAGTTTCAAGTCCCTGCTTTGCCTCTTGGGAAAGTCTCACCCCAGCCCTACGGACAGGGGCTAGGACTGAGAAGCTCTCCACGGAACGGCCAGGTAGTCAGGGGTCACGTGCCGCAGTCTCGGGGTGAGCTGTTCAGAAGCCCTTAAAATACTGGCAAAGGGCTTTGTGTGAAACTGGTGAAACTGGCCACGTGGAGAGCTCTTGTCAGGATAACAAGGGCTCCCCCTCCCTCGCCCTGGGCTCTGTGCAGCGAGTTTGCAGCCAGATTCTCCCGTGAGGAAAGGGACCAGGGCAAGGCAGAAATGAGTAATGTATCTGGGCCTCGGCTCCCGGGAATCCTCTCTCGCTGTTTGTGTGAAATCGGCTCTTTCCCTTTAGTGAGGATGTTTCTGCTTGGGTAAAATATACATAATAATAACCATTTAAAGTGTACAGCTCAGGGTCACTGAGTGCATTTACTAGAGACATGCACCATCTCCCGAACTTTGCCACCATCCCAAACAGAAACTCTGTCCCCACTGACGGAACTCCCACTCTCCCGTCGCCTGGCCCCTGCCCAAGCCGCCGTGTTGGTTTCTGGCTCCAGGACCTGTCTACTGTAGGTACCGCAGATGAGTGGTATCAGAATATTTGTCCCCGTGACTGCCTTTCAAGCAGCATCTGCAGGGCTGCAAGGGTTACCATGACCAGAGTACAGATGCTACTGGGAGGTGGTGGGAACCCTGAAGCAGGGGGTTAGTAGGAGATTTTTTGGTCAAGGAAGCATGCCCTTGATTGAGAGAGATAATGGAATCACCTCTTCTTCTTTCTCTATTTTTAAACAGTAAGCCCACCTGACATGGACAGAAACCTCCCAAACCAGAAGCCAAAATGAACCTTTCCTCTTTTGAAGGTGATTATCTCCAGTATTTCGTTACAGTAATGGAATGCAGACAAACAACTGACAAGGAAGGGATGGTGTCTAATGAAGGAGCACGGGCTCTGAAGTCAGGCAAACCTGGGCACGAATCCCAGAACCGCCACTTAATTTGTGGTGGGACCTTGGTCAATTATGTCACCTCTCAGAGCCTCAACTGCCTCATCAGTCAACAGTGGTCTGAACAGCATCTGCCCCTCCTAATGCTCTTGGATTAAATGAGATCAAGGTAGGAAAGGGACTGACCAGGTGCTCAATGGTGGAAGCGATTCCTTCTGCTCATCTCTGCTGACCCACGTAAGAGTGATGCAAGTGTGTTTAGGTCCCAAGTTTCAAAAAGAATACAGAGAGAACAGAGACAACCCAGGGGAAATCATTAAAAAGGAACCAAATTGGAAAAGGAGGAGAGAGGAAAAGGGTGAAAGAAAAAGGGGCTATGGAGCTTATAACAATATGGAGAGATGCTTGGCTGTCTTTGAGTGGGGCACCACGAGGGGTTGCCAAAGAGTCAACGGCGTAAAGCGGAAGCCACCAGGTTGAGACGGGGCGGGAGGGCGTTAGGACAGGATGTGGGGAAGAAGTGGACTGTCAGAACCGGAGGAGCTCTGAGGGTCGCCAAGGCAGGCTCCAGATCCGTCTCCCAGGGCTTTGAGGCCTAGAGCCAGGTGATCAAGAGAAGCCCAGTTCAGCAGCAATATAATGTGAGCCACCTGTGGAATTTTAAGCTTTCTAGTAAACCACATCAAAGAGGAGTAAAATTAACGCAGCCAACTTAATTTTAAAGCCATATTGGATTTAATGCAAGGTATCAAAATACCATTGCAACATGGAATCAATATAAAATGGCTAAGGGGACATTTTACCTGCTTTGGTGTCCTGTTATATCTTGGAGACCCAGGGTGCAATTCCCCACTGAACTGGCCATGGCTGCAGGGGCCGGAAGCCACCTGTGGCTGGTGACTCCCGAGCTGGCCAGCACAGGCTGGAGACATTCAGATGAGGGAGGTGGGTGGGCACAGATGACCTCAGAGGTCCCTCCCAGCACCAGATTATATTTAGCTAATTGCCACTGGACACAAGACAACCCGTGTGCATTCACTCAGTATGGCCTCCTTGGAGATAAAACAAACACCAGGCCTGACAGCCTCATCTGTGTGCTGTCGACATGCACCAAGTGGGCTTTAATTAAGGAGTAGACTTAGGATGAAGATGCAGGCTGTTCAGTGAGTCTGAGGGTCTAGGGAGGCTCTGGAAACACACACAGGGCCTGAGAGGAAGGTAAGCCGGTGTCACAGACCAACACTGCTCAGGTGGCCAGGGCACCCCCTGAATATGCACATTTAAAAATAGTGTTTGGGAACAGCCTTCAGGAAAAATGCACAAGGCTAAAGGACTCCCTAGCTTTCTGCTAGGTCATTTCCTTTTTTGGATATTCTGCCCCTCTGCAAAAGGTCAGCCTAAAAACAAAAACAAAAACAAAACATAAATAGGACCCAGAGTACAAACGAAACAGGTTATCTCCATGCAACTGCTCCAGCCAGGGGTTAACCTGGGGTTCAGAGGAGAAACAAGCACAGCACAGAGGAAGGAAAAGCCCTGGTCTCTTCCAGGGCTGAAACATCATCCTCTGGAAGAAGGGAGGCTGTGTTCTGAGGTTAACCACTGGCTAGATCAAACTGTCCCTGCTACTGCTGCCACCACCAAGAGCAAACGGCAGGGAGTGTCTTCTATGGGCTAGGCACTCTCTGAAGCCCTGTGTGTTTAACAGCTCACTGAATCCACCCAACAAGCTTGTGAGGTGGGGCCTGGCATCGGCTTTACTTCACAGATGAGGGCAGAGGTCCAGATGGGGCAAGTTGCTTACTCAAGTTCCCCTCGCTGGCAAAGTGGCACAACAGAGGTAGCAGATTAGCTTAGAGACACCTAACGGTTATCATGCTAAATGGCTTGGCCATACGCTAAATGTGTTAGTATTTAAAATATATAATTATATCTAAAATGTGTGTGAATACATAATAGTTGTAAATATAGTAAAATAAAGGTATTGCTGGAGTACATGGATCCACAGAGGAGTTGGCCAGACATGGAAATGCAGAAAAAAGAAAACTGTAGAGACAATACAAGTTGGTCCAATCTGTGGCCTAAGGAATGCGTGCTCTCTTTTTAAAATGTGACTATCAAATTATAGTTGCATTACTTATATACACTGTATATTTGATACGCAGTCCAAGACAACTCCTCTTCACCAGAGCAGCCCAGGGAAGCCAAAAGGCTGGACACCCACGATTACATTATACTTTGATGGCTTCAAAATATACCCACAATTGCTGCGGCACTCATCTCTCTGAAAGGTACAAGTTAATTCCTTTCCTTTTTTTTTTTGGCAAGTCAGGGCCTCACGCATGCTAGGCTAGTGCTCTGCCACTGAGCC